TAAGTTCATTAACCAGTGACGTGGGTGTTCCGGGTTCAAACCGCTCCGCTGCCGCCCGTATTCCCTATACATGTATTTTCCCCAGGCAGCCTTTGTATGGCCGCAGCCCCCTCCCTGAAAGTTCACTGTACATTTGTATATTCAATAAATAGAAAAAGGAAGTAAAAAGACATTTACATTTTTTGTATATTCCCTATCAGCACAAGGTGAACAGACATCAGTCAATCAGTTTCTGCATCACTCAATGACCTACACTGGTAAGCGCTCACCCAGTTACTGCATTGAGAATGTCACTTCGATTGGTGATGAAGAGTTTGCAATACAATTACCAAGCTCGGCGAACAACCGAACATCAAGTTATACCACCCGAGCCACAAAAACAACAATCAACACCGTTTGTTACCAAACCGTCAGCCATTTATATTCAGACTACTTATATATATTCAAAGTAGTCAACTTCTCTTTCTGAGAATTTACAATCCGAATCACCATAGGCATCGTCAGATTAGTACTAATCGTCCGAGCCATCTCAACATTATCCGATTGAATGTATTCAACATACCAGCATTGATCAAAATGGTTGGAGTCATCATCGTCATCCAACTCTCCACCATCGTCATCATACCAAAAAAATATCAAGTCATCGTCATCTTAGTCATCATTATGATAAGAGTAACCGTCATCATCATTCCAACCGCCTTAATCATACGAGTCATCATTATGGTTATCGTAAACACCCGAGTCATCGTAACCATCATCATCATCCAAGCCACCCTCATGAAAGCCTTCCGAGTCATCGTCATAATCAGCCGCGTTTTATTCCTTGAAACACTCTGATCACAAAATTAAGTAACCTGCATATCACTTCATGTGAGAATTTCGCTCATAAAATAATCAATGACCCGTCATTCGCTCAGTCCCGATTTATCTGCTTGCCGTTACCAAGCCACAACCCGATCCGATTTCCGCTGCTTACCCTCCTACTTAAACATTGACCGTATTTCAACGGTGCCCTAGCTAGCTCGTATTATCACTGACACGGCGAGGATCCGTAACGAACTAATCTCAAATCTACAAAGATGAACGCCTATTTAGTTTTATCATTGCTGTATACGAATTTTCAATTCATTTTTTTTATTACATTGTAACGATGAACACATTTTTCGACTGAAATGTAGGCACAGTTGCTTGCACAAGTTATCTATGATACAATCATCATCATCCTCTTTCGAGTCATCACAATCACCAACACACAAGTGATCGTCATCATGATCTTCTTTGACATCATCATCCTACTTCGGAACCAGACGCCGCAGAAATAAGCAAGCCTGTAGCAATCCCTGTATTTGAATAATCGTGTTAGCCTAGGGACTCGCGGGAAGCTAAGCCAAATGTTCGGAAGAAGCAGTGGTATTTGTCAAGGATGCTCCATGTCGATGTTTTCATTCAATCTCATCGTAAACCTTATGATGGCGAACTTTATAAGTGATCTGCTAATTACTGGTATTTTTGGGGTAGCTGGAAACAAGCTGTGCTATTTAGAGTACGTTTGTCTGTTCGAGTGTAAGGGGCTTTTACAGAGCACTATTGACAAAGCTCTGTGATTCCATTTGGTATGCGCTGTGTACCTTCAACGTTCAAAGTGATGCTACAAGACTGTCGTCTACCCCGGCTCTGATGCTCGATAGTCAATAATCAGTTGTGGTGGATTGTTTCTCCTACTTAGGTAGTTGCGTGACAAATGACGGTAGCAAAGTCGTGAAAGTAACCGCCCACATTTACTAGACACGAGCATCTGGTATTGACTGGGTGGAAAAATCGTTATCCTGTCGAATTCACATTAGTTGACTTTTCTGGTTAGGACGTGTATTGCGCATGTCCAGCTGCGGTATACCGTCTTATTTCGAAGAAACCACCGATGACGTGGAAATGAGGTATAAAGAAATGCACAGAGCGATTAGGTAGAGTGAATGTCTCCCGTCTCCCAAGGTGTTGTCCGAAAGACTATGTTACTGGTTGGTTAGTTGAGGACATGACAACTAACCAACAGCAGCGGCGTACTTGTCGCTACTTATCAGGTCAGAATGCTTGCAAAGGTATATATGCACAGTTGGCTGGTGTACTCTGTGCTGACCATAGAGGTTAAATTTCTTTACCCCCCCCCCTCCAAGTAGGCCCAATCCCTATCCATCTTGTAGTTACTTAATTTATGTACATTGTGAGTTCGGCTTCCCTGTATCTTGCTGCACGAGGATTCCGTGCAACTCGACCTGTCTCTAGACTCATTCTTCACGATCTTGCTATTTCATATTCGCTCCTAACAAGGCCGGTTTCCCAGTCCTCAACGTACGATTCTTCATCGAACTCACCTACCGTGCAAAGCACATTTACCCACCCTCGAATNGTATTATTTCGTGCTCTTCGTTTCTTCGTTCGGCAATAAGTCTAATGATTGGTTATTAACATCCTATAAACAATCGTTGGTTTGCCGCTGGGTAGTTGCTCCCGATAGTTCTATACAATTGTTACTTATATGGATTTCGTCTATCTGAGTTTGCCCATTTCCCTCACACCCTCTCACAACTACACAACCCAAATATGGAATCACATCGATCAAGCACCTGTTTCTATATCCCGTAAGACTGGTCTCTAGTCCTTATTCTCCAAAAGAGGAACAAGCTGCTCTATTCACTATATACTCCGTCTTCTAAACAAGGACCGATAAAAATGGATATAGTGACTTCAAATAACTGCCGGTATTTCAGAAACCCTTGGGTTGTCGAAAAATGCAAACAGCAGAATTCACGTAAGCCTAATACCACATCGATGAATACGGATGAGCTACGGATATCATGACCCCAATAAGGCAAAACAATCAAATGCAAATACATTTACTCAACTACATTCATTTAATCGTGGAGGAAAATAGCACGATTCAATGGTCAGTCAAATAAAGAGGACAAATCTAGGTTTTAGTATCGATAATGTTCAGCCTTGAAAGGTCCATCTTTGGGAACGCCCAGATATTCCGCTTGGGCTTCTGTAAGCTTTGTGAGTCGCACCCCTAAGTGGTCCAAATGGGCAGCCGCAACTTTTTCATCCAACTGAAATATAAAGAGGGAACATTATATACACAATATGAATGTATGTATGTGTACACATCCACTCAGAGCATTGGCGTCAGGCATCAGGCAAGGAAAAGTCACAGATGCCGAGGCGGTTTATTTTCATGAAACTGTACTGAGGTTCGAATCCATCAAATACCTTGCTATGGTCTGGTTGTTTCCATCAACAAACACTATGATAAGCTAAATAGTCATACCTTTACTTGATTTTCCACTTTTTTTAACATCAACTAGTAGCCATTTAAATGATCGCTTCTCCTTGAAAATACGTATTCAACGCCAAAGATGCAAAAAGACAGAATTGGGACAATGGCATATGGATGACCATACGTTGAACACGGTCGAGGAGGAAAAAGAGCAAGATACGAGGTTTCACTCCACACGTAACTGAGTATTCCAGCATCTGGTGGGTTTGAGCTTTGTATAAAAGGAGAATGTGCTAAGGTGGAAAGAAGGCTTTTCCACGGAATAGAAAACTAACTTTACGCGCTGCGCGAGGCGAGTGTGGAAATAAAAGAGGACCAAAAAAAGAAGAACTTATGGAGAAACGCAGGAGGGAGAGAAAATTTGTGGAACAAACGGGCAGTGAGTCGAAAATCAATGGAGGAGATTAAGGGGCATGTTCAAGAAAGGCGCGAAAGAGAAAGCTTTGGAAGCAATGAAAAGTACATGATTGGTAGAATCCCATGCGGAGATTAGTCCGAGATCAGAGACAAGAGAAGCACTAATGACATTGCGATCGTGATTGATATTGGTAGTGGCCTGACGGGTTGTGGGATAAGAAAGAGTGCAACGGAGAGCGGCATCAAGACGAGACTGCATCTTGACGTGGTGTGATGGCTTGTGCACCTCTCTAACGCAACGAGAACCATAGGATGGCTTTTGCCAAGTCGAAGATCTAATCATGCCTGGAAGGTCGACGGGTAGAGGTCAGACGAAGTTCAGTTTCCTGGTCCTCCAGGTTGGGGGTTCGACTCGAGTGGGCGTCTTAATCGGTAAAATGGTAGAGGAGTAATCGAACCAAGTAAATGGGCCTTCATTTCGCTTTACCCTCTGCCTGGCGGTCAGGTTCTTGCTAGAAGTGAAGGCTTTGGACGACAATCCCAATCGTTCTCGTGCTCAGTGGCTGGACACCCTGGAAAAACCCGTCGATCAAACTCAAATGCATACATACAAAAAAATTCCATACTGCATCGATCGTCGCGCAGGATAATCAGGACCGCGCTGTCCATTGTATCGAGTGGGGTAAGTAGTAATAAGTGGGCTACTGCTCAGATATCCCAACCTTTGTTTAANGTACCCAACCCGCTCCCTTTACCCTTTCTTCCAACCCGTAACACTCGTCAGACACCTTGTTCGTCACTTACTTAAGTTTGTCGCCAAGTAGCCCAGTAAGTAGTTTCCCACAAAATAGATCGCAGATTCTGAAGCCTTGTTAAACGCTGAATCTGGAGGCATTCAACGTGANATTGACATCTGCTGCGTATCGGAGACGTGAACCCGGAATCCTAGTACTGTAAGCCACTCGAGTGCACCCAGGTTGTCTCCTAGGTTCTTCCTCTGCACGTCAGGTGATGACGAAGCCCGTTCAGTAGACCAGCGTGGTGTGTGCATTGTACTTAAAAATACAGCCCAAGCCGCACAACTCTATTGGATCCCCGTAAACAGTCGCTTATGTGCGATGCGGCCCCAAGGGTCTATCGGCGTCCTAAAGGGAAGCAACGCCAAAGGGTGTTTGTTTACTATTTCAGGGTGTGCACCGATCAACTGCAGCTCTGACACACAAAAGGACGAGTTTTATGATAAACGCACCGAACTCATTCGGTTGAACCGAAGCTCCGATATAGTTGTTCTTGCAGATGATTTTAACGCTCAAGTTGGAAAACTGAGCGCATCGAAACCTTGCCTAGGCGGTCGTTGGGCTCTGCCCTGCCAGCGAACAGATAATGGCAATCGACTCCTTTAGTCCTGCGCAGACCATTATCTGTTCCTATCCAGCACGAACTTCCGACACAGCTTTCAACGAACAGCAACGTGCGGCGCAAATCCAACTGGCACGCTAACTCAGGTCGACCACATAGCATTAAGCCACCGTTGGCGTGGCTCAGTACAAAACTGCAGGCCCTATTGGACCACATGTGTTGAATCTGATCGTGCGTTAGTTTTGATTTAGTTCACTCTCCAATTTATTGTTCGCAGAAAATCCCACCAAACTCGATTGGCAGATCACCGCTTACCTGACCCAGCCGTTCGTACCCGTTTTGAATCAGAGCTAGTGCAGGAGCTAAACATACTGCGGGGTGGTAGTGTAGATGAACAATGGGATCAGATAAGATGAGCAATGCACTCCGCAACGAAGGTTGCTAGTGGATCTGAAGCGGTAGTCCGACCGAGGCATTGGATATCTGATGAGTGAGTAGAACTGATGGAGAAAAAAGCGGCAAATCCCGACCGCCCGAGATCAAAGCAAGCCTAGGCGTCTACAACGTCAGCCCAAGAAGGACCGTGAGAACTGGTGGGTAACGATAGCTAGTGAAATAGAAGTAGAAGCCATATCAGGGAATAGGTAAAGACTGTTCCAGTTGATACGCAATACGGGAGGTCGGCAAACCACAGTGAAACAATGTGCGACAACAGTGAGCAAGCTATTTGCAATAGGGGACAACAGCTTGACCGGCGGGCGGAGTACTTCAACGAACAGCTCAGCTGGCCAGGTGCNACTCCGTGGGCAGTCATATGAACCTCCTACTGCAGCAAAAAATTCGATCTTGCATCCAAGCCCTGAAGAAAGGACGGGTTTCCTCCCACTCTTTTCAAGATGGGAGGCGATGACCTCGTAGACTCCATCACTAATTTAGTTCGTACCATATGATCACACGAGCGCATTCCATCATCTTGGAGCAAATCACTAATTGTCCTAATTTTTAGGAAGGGAGCCCGCAACGATTGTGCAAACCACCGTTGAATAAACTTGATCCTATTCATCACCAAGTTACTGGCCTTCATCATACTTCGACGTCCGACACGGTTTAGGGAGACAAACATGCGCGAACAACAAGCGGGATTCAGACCAGGTCGCGGTTGTATCCATCAAATCTTCCCTCTGCATCAAGTCCTCGAGCTACGCCATACGCACAGTCGACCAACGGTTGTCGTATTCCTTGACCTAAAAGGAGCCTTCGACTCAGTTGATCGCTAATCCCTTAGGGGTTCGCTCCTTCGCAAGGAATGCAGCAGAATTACATGAACATACTGAGTTCACTTCACTCGCATACTTCTGGTAGTGTAATGGTCTACAGCGAGCTCAGTAGGTCGTTCGTAACTAGCAGCGGTGTTCGTCAAGGATGCCCTCTCGCCATTCCTGTTAGATTTCATCATAGTCGAAACACTTGAGAACACATTAAGTGGTCTCCAAAATGAAGGTATTGAATGGGCAAACGGAGAAAAGCTGTGCGATTTGGAGTACGCTGACGACATTGCTTGCTCGAATGCATGGAGGATGCACAAAGAGCAATCGACAGATGAGGAGGTTCTGTCGCTCCGTTCTGCACGTGCTTTGCACCTTCAAAGTGAAAAGTGATGCTACAAGACTGGCTGTCACCGAGTTATGTTCTAAAACCAGACGTTCAGGAATTAGCTGAAGTTGACTGCTTCTCGTACTTAGGTAGCTGCATGACCAACGACGGTAGCGCATCAAAGGAGATAACCGCCTGTATTTCAAAGGCTCGAGCAGCGTACGCAGAACTTAAACACCTGTGGCGGTGATGTGACGCTTCACTTAAATTGAAAAGTCGCGTATACTGCGCCACTGTACGATCAGTTGTGCTTTACGGTTGTGAGATCTTGAATTTCCGAGTAGAAGACATCCGTCGCGTAGTGGTTTTGGGCAATCGATGCTTACATCTGGCCCAAGTGGGATAGAGTGAGCGGGTTAGTAACTTAGAAGTAAGTCGTCGGGTGTTTGGGAATGCATAGAACAAGAACTCGTTATCGCATCGAATTGAGCTTAATAGTCTCCGTTTGTTAGGACACGTTTTACATAAGTCCGACGGTCGCCTACCGCAGTGCGCGGGAGACGAGGCATGAAGAAATGCACACAACGAGTAGGTAGAGCAGGTGTCTCTCGTCTTCCGGGGTGGACATGTGAAATGCAGAATATGAAAAATAGAATGATCGCTGCTGCTGGGGGAGCGGTAACGGTACCAAAATACTGAAGTTTTAGCTACATAAGTTGGAAGTCACGGTGCGGAAAGAAGCGATAGAATGATGGATGTGGGCGCTGACATCAGCGTTAAGGAAAGGATGGGGAAAGTAATTAGGGACTGAAGATGAGAAGTGTCTGACGATGGAGAGATTTGTCTCGGTCAAAAAGAAAGTCAAAAAGAAAGGTTGGAGAAAGTAGTATACCGAATTA